CTAGTCACCCCCTCCACAGTACCTGGAGCATCACAGTGTTATAGCCGACACTAGTCACCCCCTCCACAGTACCTGGAGCATCACAGTGTTATAGCCGACACTAACCACCCCCTCCACAGAACCTGGAGCATCACAGTGTTATAGCCGACACTAGTCACCCCCTCCACAGTACCTGGAGCATCACAGTGTTATAGCCGACACTAGTCACCCCCTCCACAGTACCTGGAGCATCACAGTGTTATAGCCGACACTAGTCAACCCCTCCACAGTACCTGGAGCATCACAGTGTTATAGCCGACACTAGTCACCCCCTCCACAGTACCTGGAGCATCACAGTGTTATAGCCGACACTAGTCACCCCCTCCACAGTATCTGGAGCATCACAGTGTTATAGCCGACACTAGTCACCCCCTCCACAGTACCTGGAGCATCACCGTGTTATAGCCGATACTAGTCACCCCCTCCACAGTACCTGGAGCATCAGCATCACAGTGTTATAGCCTACACTAGTCACCCCCTCCACAGTACCTGCCTGGAGCATCGCAGTACAATGGCAGACATATTTATTTTACCCAGGTCCTTTTTACCATATGCAATGAAGCTATGATGCTATGAGGCTATGATGCTTACATGCTATGAGGCTATGATGCTGTGAGGCTATGATGCTTAAATGCTATGAGGCTATGAGGCTGATGCTTAAATGCTATGAGGCTATGATGCTTAAATGCTATGATGCTGTGAGGCTATGATGCTGTGAGGCTATGATGCTTAAATGCTATGAGGCTATGAGGCTGATGCTTAAATGCTATGAGGCTATGATGCTTAAATGCTATGATGCTATGAGGCTATGATGCTGTGAGGCTATGATGCTTAAATGCTATGAGGCTATGAGGCTGATGCTTAAATGCTATGAGGCTATGATGCTTAAATGCTATGATGCTGTGAGGCTATGATGCTATTAGTCTATGATGCTATTAGGCTTTTTAATACCGACACGTAGATTTTATATTAATTGATGATGTGCTGCTTTTAATGTCTGTGTGTCCTTGTGTTTTTATGAGTTATTTATTGGTAATATATGTATTGGCTGGTGCAATCAAATTTCCCCTCTGGGGGATTAATAAAATACTATCTTATCTTATCTTATAAGACGCAAAATGGCAAGTGGCATTCAATTTTTTTTAGATATATATATATATATATATATAAAGAAGCCATGTGTTGCGATAATCACAGGAGTTCCCCCACAAAGTAACTTCTGTCCTGACTTTTGCCCTTACTGAATAGGTCGTACCCACCGGAAACACTTGCTGCCTCCCGGCTCTAATTTAGCCCTGAGAAAGGAGCAAAGGAGAGAGGGAGAGAAAAAGAAAGAGAGCGAGAGAGAATTCTGCAAAAATATCCTCAGTGAACAACATAAAATACCAAATAATTGTCACGTTCGTCGACTGATGAAGCGGACCAAGGCGCAGCGTGATAAGCGTACATTCTTTATTTAGTACACACACGAACCAAAACAACAAACGAAACGATACGTGAAGTCCTAGGTTATACACAAAACCTTACGGAACAAGATCCCACAAAACTAACATGCCAAAAGGCTGCCTAAGTATGGTCCCCAATCAGAGACAACGAGCTACAGCTGCCTCTGATTGGGAACCACCCTGGCCAACATAGATCAAAACGAACTAGAACCAAAAACATAGAAAACAAAACATAGAAAATCCACACCCTGGCTCAACATATAAGAGTCCCCAGAGCCAGGGCGTGACAGTACCCCCCCCCAAAGGCGCGGACTGCGACCGCGCCACACCAACACAACAGGGTAGGGGCCGGGAGGGCATTCCGCCTCGGAGGCGGATCCGGCTCCGGGCGTGACCACCACTCTCTCTCTACCCCCCCGTTGCGCCCCTGGTCTGGTCCCGCTGGCCGGAGCTGGACTGAACACCGGTGGAGCGGATTGCTCTGGCTCCGGAGTGGAGCAGCTGACCGGTGCCGGACCAGGCACCGGTGGAACAGGCACGGACCGTGCCTGACTGACGACGCGCACCACTGGCTTGGTGCGGGGAGCAGGAACGGGCCGGACCGGGCTGACGACGCGCACCACTGGCTTGGTGCGGGGAGCAGGAACGGGCCGGACCGGGCTGACGACGCGCACCACTGGCTTGGTGCGGGGAGCAGGAACGGGCCGGACCGGGCTGACGACGCGTACCACTGGCTTGGTGCGAGGGACATGAACAGGCCGGACTGGGCTGGCGATGCGCACCACAGGCTTGGTGCGAGGGACAGGAACAGGCCGGACCGGGCTGGCGACGCGCACCACTGGCTTGGTGCGGGGAGCAGGAACGGGCCGGATCGGGCTGGCGACGCGCACCACTGGTTTGGTGCGAGGGACAGGAACAGGCCGGACCGGGCTGGCGACGCGCACCACTGGTTTGGTGCGAGGGACAGGAACAGGCCGGGCTGGACTGTGGAGACGGACTGGAGGTCTGGAGCGGAGAGCTGACACAACCCGTCCTGGCTGAATGCCTATTTCCACACAATCTGTGTGAGGCATCAGCACAGGACGTACAGGGCTGTGCACTCCTACTGGCACTACAGCACGTGGTACTGGCGCAGGATATCCGGGACCGAGGAGGGGTACTGGAGGCCACGAGCGTTGAGCCGGCACACTCCGTCCTGGCTGCATGCCCACCTTAGCACGACACGTGCGTGGTGCTAGCACAGGACGTACAGGACTGTGCCGGAACACTCGTGGCACAGTACGTGGCTCCGCATAACACGGAACCTGCCCAGTCTCACGCTGCCTAGCCTGAGTACGGGGAGTTGGCTCTGCTCTACCTCTAGGCTCCGCCAACCACCCTTCCAGCCCCCCAAACCTGGTGGCCTCCTCTCCTAGTCCGCCGATTCGTCCTGTAGCTGCCTCCAGCAGCCCCGTCGTCCACGGCGTGTGCCCCCCCAAAAAAATTACTTGGGGTTGCCTCTTGCGTGTCCGTCGTCGGCACGGTTGGCGCCGTTTCACCTCTCCTGCCTGGGCATTTACTTTTGCCCATGGCCCTCTGCCCGCGAATATGTCCTCCCAAGACCACCATTCGCCCACCTGGGACATCGCCAACTTCTCCTCCTGGGCACGCTGCTTGGTCCTCTCTTGGTGGGATCTTCTGTCACATTCGTCGACTGATGAAGCGGACCAAGGCGCAGCGTGATAAGCGTACATTCTTTATTTAGTACACACACGAACCAAAACAACAAACGAAACGATACGTGAAGTCCTAGGTTATACACAAAACCTTACGGAACAAGATCCCACAAAGCTAACATGCCAAAAGGCTGCCTAAGTATGGTCCCCAATCAGAGACAACGAGCTACAGCTGCCTCTGATTGGGAACCACCCTGGCCAACATAGATCAAAACGAACTAGAACCAAAAACATAGAAAACAAAACATAGAAAAATCCACACCCTGGCTCAACATATAAGAGTCCCCAGAGCCAGGGCGTGACAATAATGCATGCATAGCAGAATTAGACCGGTACCCACTAATTATCAAAATCCAGAAAAGAGCCGTTAAATTCTACAACCACCTAAAAGGAAGCGATTCCCAAACCTTCCATAACAAAGCCATCACCTACAGAGAGATGAACCTGGAGAAGAGTCCCCTAAGTAAGCTGGTCCTGGGGCTCTGTTCACAAACACAAACAGACCCAACAGAGCCCCAGGACTGCAACACAATTAGACCCAACCAAATAATGAGAAAAAAAATAAAAAATTACTTGACACATTGGAAAGGATTAACAAAAAAACAGAGCAAACTAGAATGCCATTTGGCCCTAAACAGAGAGTACACAGTGGCAGAATACCTGACCACTGTGACTGAACCAAAAGGAAAGTTTTGACTATATACAGACTCAGTGAGCATAGCCTTGCTATTGAGAAAGGCCGCCGTAGGCAGACCTGGCTTTTAAGAGAAGACAGGCTATGTGCACACTGCCCACAAAATGAGGTTGAAACTGAGCTGCAGTTCATAACCTCCTGCCAAATGTATGACCGTATTAGAGACACATATTTCCCTCAGATTACGCAGACCCACAAACAATTCGAATACAAATCAAATTGAGAAAAACTCCCATATCTATTAGGTGAAATACCACAGTGTGTCATCACAGCAGCAAGATGTGTGACCTGTTGCCACAAGAAAAGGGTAACCAGTGAAGAACAAACACCATTGTAAATACAACCTTATTCATGTTTTATTTATTTTCCCTTTGTACTTTAACTATTTGCACATACATACATATGAGGTGATAGTTAGATAAACATGATTCCATATACAGGTTACATATGAGGTGATAGTGGTGCACTTCCAGGAACGTCAGCCTCTAATGTTTTATTAATCAGATAAATGTTCATTTATTTACATGTCGTCTTCTGGGTGGTCATGGGTAACAGGCATAACAGCTTTATGGTTTTCTCATTTTAATACTGATCACATCTGACAAGTTAATCTCAGACATAACATTGCTTCATCGCTATCAACTAAAATGTTGCTTCATTTCGAATCATGTTCCATTGGACCGCAATACAATATTTATATAGCAGCCATTTTCATAATTCAAAGGACATTTGTCATGCTGTTGCTAGCTTTGGAAAGATTAAACTATATTTTTTGGCCGGTGGTAAATATAAACTATTTGTAGCTTGATAACAAGCATAGAGAGACTTCAACAAAACAAGCTTGTAATTACCAAGACCATCTACAGCAGTATTCTGAAGCCATGGAGAGCTGTGATAACACACTTTAGGTTGTCTGTCTTTCCAGAACCAGGGCTGGGTTAGGAGACATCTCTCAAACAGTCAGGTGGTGGGGGGGTAGAGGGGAGGAGGAGGAAACAGGTGGGTGGAGGAGGATAGGAGGGAGGGAGACGAGACTTCCATGGAGAGGGAGTGATCACACAGACAATCAGGTGGTGGGTGGTGAGGGAAGAGGAGGGAGGGGGAGGCTTACATGGTGGAGAGGGAGTGCAGTGTGGTGAAGGCTCCCGGGGCGATGGTGGAGATCCGGTTGTCATAGAGAGACAGCAGGCGTACGGAGCTCAGGCCTGTGAAGGTGGTGTTGTCCACACAGCCTAGCTGGTTACTCCTCAGCATCCTGTCGTGGAGACACGCGCACACACACACACACATCATGGTGAAATGGGAAACCAATAGGAACACTGTGGTACTGACCACATGACCAGGAAAAACTCCAGGTCCTAGTTCTACTGTTTCTCTGTTATGTGATGGTCGGCTGTGAGACTGTTAGACTGCAGTGTAGACATGTCTCCTGCTCTAGGGCTGTGTGGTTGGGGCCTTGTATAATCCAATGTTATTGTGACTAAAAGTGTTCTGGCCCAAAAGGGGAGTTTATTTTGGTGCGGGCCAGGGGGTTCCAAACTAAAGGGTTAGGGTAAGGTTAATGGAGGGGGGGTGGGGGTCCAAACTAAATGGTTAGGGCTAGGCTTAGGTTAATGGAGGGGGGGGGGGGGGGGGGGGAGGGGGGGCAAACTAAACGTTAGGGTTTTAATGGATGGAGGGGGGGTGGTGGAGGGGGGGGGGGGGGGGGGGGGGGGGGTCCAAACTAAAGGGTTAGGGTTAGGTTAATGGAGAGGGGGTTAAGCACAGAGAAAAAAAGAAAAAAAAAGGAAAAGTGGGAACATCCAACCAGAGCCCCTCTGTGAACCAACATCCAACCAGAGCCCCTCTATGACCAACATCCAACCAGAGCCCCTCTGTGACCAACATCCAACCAGAGCCCCTCTGTGATGAACATCTAACCAAAGACCCTCTGTGATGAAAATGCGAAAGCAGCAAATTCTGCATTAGGCTCTAACAGGCAGGGATACGAGACAGGCAATCTCAATTTGGTTCATGCTCCTGGGATTTAAAACCCTGTAAATTCAATACCATGATTCCATTAATGTTTTCCTATGCACGGCTCCCCCCAATTCGCTTAATTAGGACCAAATCAGCCCCCTCAGAAAGCCTTTCTGGCCATCAGTTAGGCTACAGAGAATGAATTATCTTCTCTAAATGTTGTGTCTAAATAAGGTGGCTATGAGCTGTGACTGTATTTAATCTAGAGAGAGGGGGGCTGGATTCATCATGTGTGGTTGGATGTGATGTCACTGGGCCTATTCTTTTATCTTCTAAATATTATTTCCCATTATGCACTCAATCATTAGTCTCTAGGCATCTGTTTAGAGAACGGGTCCATGTTACATAGCAACTATTGTCTGTTTGTGAATGTGTATGTCTGTGAATGTTTGTTGAGTATACAGTAGTTAGATGTATTGTGTGTGGACACGTTATTGAATAGATTCATACGGTGTACAGTGGCTTGCGAAAGTATTCACCCCCCTTGGCATTTTTCCTATTTTGTTGCCTTACAACCTGGAATTAAAATGGATTTTTTGGGGGTTTGTATAATTTGATTTACACAAAATGCCAAACTAAAGGGTTAGGTTAATGGAGAGGGGGGGGGGGGGTGTTCCAAACTAAAGGGTTAGGGTTAGGTTAATGGAAAGGGTGGGGTGGGGGTTCCAAACTAAAGGATTAGGGTTAGGTTAATGGAGAGGGGGGGAAAGTGGGAACATCCAACCAGAGCCCCTCTGTGACGAACCGCAAAGCCTACCACTTTGAAGATGCAAAATATGTTTTCTTGTGAAACAAACAAGAAATAAGACAAAAAAACAAGGCAAAACTGCTCCAGCTCCTTCAAGTTGTGTGAAACAAACAAGAAATAAGACAGAAAAACAGAAAACTTGAGCGTGCATAACTATTCACCCCCCCAAAGTCAATACTTTGTAGAACCACCTTTTGCAGCAATTACAGCTGCAAGTCTTTTGGGGTATGTCTCTATAAGCTTGGCACATCTAGCCACTGGGATTGTTTCCCATTCTTCAAGGAAAAACTGCTCCAGCTCCTTCAAGTTGGATGGGTTCAGCTGGTGTACAGCAATCATTAAGTCATGCCACAGATTCTCAATTGGATTGAGGTCTGGGCTTTGACTAGGTCATTCCAAGACATTTAAATGTTTCCCCTTAAACCAATCAAGTGTTGCTTTAGCAGTATGCTTAGGGTCATTGCCCTGCTGGAAGGTGAACCTCCGTCCCAGTCTCAAATCTCTGGAAGACTGAAACAGTTTTCCCTCAAGAATTTCCCTGTATTTAGCGCCATCCATCATTCCTTCAATTCTGACCAGTTTCCACAACTTTGCCCCTGACCTGTTTGGAGAGCTCTTTGGTCTTCATGGTGCCGCTTGCTTGGTGGTGCCCCTTGCTTAGTGGTGTTGCAGACTCTGGGGCCTTTCAGAACAGGTGTATATATACACTGAGATCATGTGACACTTAGATTACACACAGGTGGACTTTATTTAACTAATTATGTGACTTCTGAAGGTAATTGGTTGCACCAAATCTTATTTAGGGGCTTCATTGCAAAGGGGGTGAATACATATGCACGCACCACTTTTCCGTTATTTATTTTTTAGAATTTTTTTAAATAAGTTATTTTTTTCATTTCACTTCACCAATTTGGACTATTTTGTGTATGTCCATTAAATGAAATCCAAATAAAAATCAATTTAAATTACAGGTTGTAATGCAACAAAATAGGAAAAATGCCAAGGGGGATGAATACTTTTGCAAGGCACTGTAGTGCACACAAAATATTATACACATAATAATGGCCGGAACGGAGCAAATGAAATGGCATCAAACACCTGGAAACCATGTGTTTTTATGTATTTGATACCATTCCACCTAATCCGCTCCAGTCATTACTACGAGCCCGTTCTCCTCAATAAAGGTGCCACCAACCTCCTGTGGTCTGAATACTTATGTAAATGTGAATTGTTATTTTTTATTTATCTTTTCTTTTGCAAAAAATTTTACAAACCTGTTTTTGCTTTGTCATTATGGGGTATTGTGTGTAGATTGATGAGGATCGTTTTGTGTAATCCATTTTAGAATAAGGCTGTAATGTAACAATGTGGAAAAAGTCAAGGGGTCTGAATACTTTCTGAATGCACTGTATATGCCATTTAGCAGATTATTGTTTATATAGTGCCTTGCAAAAGTATTCATCCCCCTTGGCGTTTTTCCTATTTTGTTTCATTACAACCTGTAATTTAAATTGATTTTTATTTTAATTTCATGTAATGGACATACACAAAATAGTCCAAATTGGTGAAGTGAAATGAAAAAAATAACTTGTTTCTAAAAATTCGAAAAAATAAATAACGGAAAAGTGGTGTGTGCATATGTATTCACCCACTTTGCTATGAAGCCCCTAAATAGGATCTGGTGCAACCAATTACCAGAAGTCCCATAATTAGTTAAATAAAGTCCACCTGTGTGCAATCTAAGTGTCACATGATCTCAGTATGTATACACCTGTTCTGAAAGGCCCCAGAGTCTGCAACATCACTAAGCAAGGGGCACCACCAAGCAAGCGGCACCATGAAGACCAAGGAGCTCTCCAAGCAGGTCAGGGACAAAGTTGTGGAGATGTACAGATCAGGGTTGGGTTATAAAAAAATATCAGAAACTTTGAACATCCCACGGAGCACCATTAAATCCATTATAAAAAATTGGAAAGAATATGGCACCCCAACAAACCTGCCAAGAGAGGGCCACCCACCAAAAATCACGGACCAGGCAAGGAGGGCATTAATCAGAGAGGCAACAAAGAGACCAAAGATAACCCTGAAGGAGCTGCAAAGCTCCACAGCGGAAATTGGAGTATCTGTCCATAGGACCACTTTAAGCCATACACTCCACAGAGCTGGGCTTTACAGAAGAGTGGCCAGAAAAATGCCATTGCTTAAGAAAAAAATAAGCAAACACGTTTGGTGTTCGCCAAAAGCCATGTGGGAGACTCCCCAAACATATAGTCAGATTAGACTAAAATTGAGCTTTTTGGCCATCAAGGAAAACGCTATGTCTGGCGCAAACCCAACACCTCTCATCACATCTCATCACCTCTCATCACCCCGAGAACACCATCCCCACACTGAAGCATGGTGGTAACAGCATCATGCTGTGGGGATGTTTTTCATCGGCAGGGACTGGGAAACTGGTCAGAATTGAAGGAATGATGGATGGCGCTAAATACAGGGAAATTCTTGAGGGAAAACTGTTTCAGTCTTCCAGAGATTTGAGACTGGGACGGAGGTTCACCTTCCAGCAGGGCAATGACCCTAAGCATACTGCTAAAGCAACACTTGAGTGGTTTAAGGGGAAACATTTAAATGTCTTGGAATGACCTAGTCAAAGCCCAGACCTCAATCCAATTGAGAATCTGTGGCATGACTTAATGATTGCTGTACACCAGCTGAACCCATCCAACTTGAAGGAGCTGGAGCAGTTTTTCCTTGAAGAATGGGAAACAATCCCAGTGGCTAGATGTGCCAAGCTTATAGAGACATACCCCAAAAGACTTGCAGCTGTAATTGCTGCAAAAGGTGGTTCTACAAAGTTTTGACTTTGGGGGGGTGAATAGTTATGCACGCTCAAGTTTTCTGTTTTTCTGTCTTATTTCTTGTTTGTTTCACTTTTTATTTTATTTTGCATCTTCAAAGTGGTAGGCATGTTGTGTAAATAACATGATACAACCCCCCCAAAAATCCATTTTAATTCCAGGTTGTAAGTCAACAAAATAGGAAAAATGCCAAAGGGGGTGAATACTTTCGCAATCCACTGTATGTCATCACATAGTGATTTTTATCCGCAACAAGTCAGTTTGGTGGAAACACCCCGCAGGTATTTTCTTTAAGCAGATTTTAGAATATTCAGATGAAAATGTGTCGCCAATTGGATGGAAACCTAGCTTTTGACTGCCATGTGGATATTATTATTATTATTAAAAACTTGAACCCTTGGGCATTGGGTCTAAGCCTTTATATTCTAAGATGGACTCGGCTCCATTTACAGTGTCTTGAGTCCGGTTAGCCCTCTGAACATTCGTCCCTGCAGCGCCTGCAGCTTGTTGCCTGTCAGAAGCATCTCCAAGACCCCCCCGGCTCCGTCGAAGGCCCCCTCGCGTATATCCCGCAGCTTGTTGTTGCTAAGGTTACTGTGAGAGAGGGGGAGAGAGATATGAACATGGTAAATATCATACTGTGTTAAGATCCTTTTACCTAGACATCATTATAACCACCCAAACACATACACTTCTCATCAGCAAATGAATCATCAAGCCTAATTGGGTTAATGGGTTGGGTTTGTCTCTCCTGCGTCCTAATCCTTCCCCAGAGCGCGGAACAGGTGGAAATTACATCATTTCAACTGGTTTTACCCGCTGTGTCATAGTCTTAGGCCAAACAATCCAAAGTATGATTGGTTAAAAACAACAGGCGATATCTATAGTATTCCTAATTGTGATGGGTAGCAAACAACGTCTATACCAATTTTCCATGGCGCACATCTTTGATTCTTATCTGTACTTTGGTGAAGAGGAGGGGAGAGGTTTAGATGTTGATCAATTTAGAACTTCTCTGATGATGCTAGATGGTATGCATTTTTATGTTCGATAAATCCCTCCTCATCGTGTTGTGTACAGCAGCAGCAGACTTGGCTTTTTCCATCTTCCTGGAGTCGACCCTTTATATTGCCTGACTGTAAATTACATTGTCCTCTCTCCCATTTAGATAGAATATTCCCCTGCCTCCCTCTCTCCTCCCCAGTCTCCTATCCTCCCCCTCTCCTCTCCAGGTTCTTGATACTGCTCATTGCATAAAAAGTTGTTGTTGACATAAACCTCTCAGACAAGACACGCCCAGACTGCAACACAACACAACAACTCAGCCTGTGTATGTGTGTTTTAAAGGGCAATGGAGGAATGGAAGCAGCCATACATCTTCCTCAGGTTGGGGAGCTTCTTAAAGGTCCCCACGGCCTCCAGGATGGAGATTTCATTGTCATTCAGGCGCCTGTTGTGGAGAGAGAGAGAGACAGACAGAGAGAGGGGGAGAGAGAGAGACAAAATGTTAAAATGAAGGTCAATAGCCCCACAGTGACTGAGTGAGTCAGAGAGCAGTTGCTAAAGCCAGATAAGAGACATAAAAAAATCTAACATTTTCACTTAATTCTACACTTAGACAAAGGACGGAGAAAGACAACTAAAGAGTCATCAATATTCAAATCGCTCGCAGCAAAAGGGACGTTTGTATGATGGGCGGGCGATCGCCTTCTTGGTATCGACCTTTTCACATTTCCCCCGACGGGAAAGACGGGCCATGCCTTGGGAAAGTTACCAGACATAAAAGAGTTTCCCTGGGAAGGGAAGAGAGAGTGATGAGGGGTGAGAGAAAAGAGAGGAGAGAGGAGAAAGGAGTGAGAGATAAAGGGAGGGAGGGAGAGAGAGAGGAGAGAGAGAGAGGAGAGAAGAGAGAGGGAGAGGAAAGAGGAGAGAAGAGAGCGATGAGAGACAGAGAGAGAGAGAGAGAGGAGAGAGAGCGAAGAGAAAACATCCTGATGTGGTGTGTGTCCTCTAGCCAGTGGAGAAGGGCAACATCTAGTTTCCCTGACATGCTCTGCCCTGGGACTTGGCCAGAGTGGAGCCAGGGCCTAATAGCCCAGGAGAGCCTGGTGCTATTAGCTAGCCATCACTCCCTGTGAGATGTAGTGAGGGTGAGCAGCTAGTACTGATGGGGCTGGGAGATAGAGGGGGATAGAGTGAGGGGGATAGAGAGAGGGGGGATAGAGAGAGGGGGATAGAGAGAGGGGGGATATAGAGAGGGAGATAGAGAGGAGGGATAGAGAGAGGGGGGATAGAGAGAGGGGGAGAGAGGGGGGGGATAGAGAGAGGGGGATAGAGAGAGGGGGGATATAGAGAGGGAGATAGAGAGGAGGGATAGAGAGAGGGGGGGATAGAGAGAGGGGGAGAGAGAGAGGGGGGATAGAGAGAGGGGGAGAGAGGGGGATAGAGAGAGGGAAGGAGAGAGAGAGAGGGGGATAGAGAGAGGGCTGGGGGATAGAGAGAGGGGGATAGAGAGAGGGCTGGGGAATAGAGTGAGGGCTGGGGGATAGAGAGAGGGATGGGAGATATAGAGAGAGTGGGATAGAGAGAGGGCTGGGGGATAGAGAGAGGGGATAGAGTGAGGGCTGGGGGATACAGAGATGGTTGGGGGATAGAGTAAGGGCTGGGGGATGGAGAGAGGGATGGAGAGAGGAGAGAGAGGGATAGAGGGAGGGGATAGAGAGAGGGATAGAGAGAGGGATAGTGAGAGGGATAGAGAGAGGGATGAAGAGAGGCATGTGATGAATGTCTACATTAATACAACTATATCAGGACAAAATAATGACTATGGAGCTGGAGAAAGGGGAATAGTACTGGATGTGATGTGAATGTGTGTGTGTGTTTGTTTGTGTGCTCTTACAGGTCTGTGGTGTGCTCGGGGATGTGTGGGGGCAGTTTGGTCAGTTTGAGGTTGGAGCAGTCCACCACGGTGCCCTCACAGCGACACTTCTCTGGACACACTAGGTCCTGGAAACACTCTCCACTCAGCCTGCTACGGTAGTCCTCTGTACCTGGGGAGGTGACAGGAAAGGGAAGGGGGGGGGGCAGGAGAGGGGACAGGTCATTGTCCCACAGATCTGGGACCAAGCTTGCTTACTGTAAGCATTGAATTAGGCATATTCCTATTACTGGAATGCAATGCCTCTCAAACATACACTATACAGAGAACACACAGACACACACATGAACAATGCAACACACCCACATACATCTATTAAACATTTTAGAAAGAACACCCTCAAAAACCTACAAAATCATTTGGAAGAGAACAGTTGAGAGAAAGGTGAATTCCAGGAGGTTGGTTGCTTGGAGATGTTTTGACAGAGTAATACTGGGTTGTTCTTCCGTAACGCCGGGTGTTGGATGTTTGTAGTTAAGTTTGGTTCCCATCACACAAGCCTTCCTCTCCTGTCCCACCCCACCCTTCCTGTCACATCCCCAGGTACAGAGGACTACCGTAGCAGACTGAGTGGAGAGTGTTTCCAGGACCAGGTTACTCATCTCATCTCTATCTCCACCAGTGATCCAAGAGAGCCTCTGACAGTGGGAGCTCCAAGAACCAGCGCCCAGAACCAGACAGGGCCCCGGGTGAGAGGCTCGGCTGGGGTCTCTCTCCTCTCTCTCTGCTGGGAAAACCACTGGGCCTGGCTCAAACACTGGCTCACGCTGTCTGCGTTCCAAATGGCACCCTATTCCCTATATAATGCACTACTTTAGACCAGAGCCCTATGGGTCCTGGTCAAAAGTAGTGCACTACATATGGACTAGGGTACCATTTTGGATGCAGACTAGTGCCAAGCAGGAACAGGACAGCAGGGTGACAGAAAGTAGAAGGAGGCAGAGGAGGAGGAAGAGGAGGGGGAGGAAGAGGACTCTTTAACAACACGAAGGAAGAATCGAGGATTGTAGTGTACCACTTTGTAGTCTCCCTGTGAAGGAGGGAGGGAACGGAGGGAAGCCTCATCTTTTCTTTTCTCCTCCTCTCACCATCACCGGAAAGAAGGGCTGGGGCCGTGGATCTGTCCCAGAATGCCATGCTGCAGGCATATGGTGTGGGCGGGCCGGGCGGGTGTGTCCAGCGGTCCCTGGTGCTTGACGGAACCATGTGAGGCGAGTGTAGGCGGCGGCACATGGTTAGATCAAGCACAAGAGACAGCTGCAACAGGTAGAGAGAAGAACAAGTAGGTAGGCAGGTAGGTAGTGAGGCAGAGTGAAGGTGAGCTGAGAGCGACAGGAACATGAACAGACAGGAACCGATAGGAGGAGCCAGGACAGGAAGCTGATCGAGGTGACTGACTGACAGCCTGGACTCCCCCCAGACAGGACCTCCTTATTTCCTCCCAACACCAACACTGTCCCTCCCCTCCCTCCCCTCAGCCATGCACACTGGGCAGGTCCCCCAGGGGCCACACTGTACTGCACTGTCTGTAACGCCCCAGCATAGGGAAAGCCACAAACACAGGGACACATATAGACAGCCCTGTGTGATTTTCACTTAGATGGGATAGAGGGAGAGAGAGAGGGGTGAGAGAAAACAATTCAAGCTCTCTGGCACTTTTTATGCAAGCGCACACACGCATACACACACACACGCGCGCGCGCGCGCACACACACACACACACACACACACACACACACACACACAGGCCTCTGTCTCAGAGACATACAGACAGTGTGACCACAGTTTATCGGTGTTCCAGTTGTGCTTGTTATTGTGTTTCTGTATTGAATTTGCCCAGCCTGTAATTAGGAGAACCCAGGGTTATTATCAAAGGAAAGCAACAGTGGAGAGGAGCTGCCTTAACCCCCCATATCTGTGGGGCCCTGCGGGGGCCCCTCCTGTCTCGACTCTCCACCTGAGAGGCAGTGACGGGTGTGATTTGTGAGCTCTCCCTACACACCGGTATAGACAGACACCCTTTCCTCAAGCCTTCCTCTCTTCTGCTACGAACCACTCTGAAACCTGGTTCCAAGTAGAACTTCTCTAGACCAGAGGGTGAAACACATCTATCTATCTATCTATCTATCTATCTATCTATCTATCTATCTATCTATCTATCTATCTATCTATCTATCTATCTGTCTGTCTGTCTGTCTGTCTGTCTGTCTGTCTGTCTGTCTGTCTGTCTGTCTGTCTGTCTGTCTGTCTGTCTGTCTGTCTGTCTGTCTGTCTGTCTGTCTGTCTGTCTGTCTGTCTGTCTGTCTGTCTGTCTGTCTGTCTGTCTGTCTGTCTGTCTGTCTGTCTGTCTGTCTGTCTGTCTGTCTGTCTGTCTGTCTGTCTGTCTGTCTGTCTGTCTGTCTGTTGTCTGTCTGTCTGTTTCCATCTCCGTCTCCGTCTCTCTCTCTCTCTCTCTCTGTCTCTATCTGTCTCTCTCTCTCCACCAAGACATGGTTCACAAAAGACAAATGGGAAACCCAAAGAGGCAGCGAGAAAGAGAAAGAGATGTAGAGGAGGGGGGAGGAGAAACGGAGAGAAAGAGAGGCAGAGGAGGGGGGAGGAGAAACAGAGTGAAAGTGATGCAGAGGAGGGGGGAGGAGAAACAGAGAAAGAGAGGCAGAGGAGGGGGGAGGAGAAACAGAGAGAAAGTGATGCAGAGGAGGGGGGAGGAGAAACAGAGAAAGAGATGTAGAGGAGGGGGGAGGAGAAACAGAGAGAAAGAGATGTAGAGGAGGGGGTGGAGAAACAGAGAGAAAGAGATGTAGAGGAGGGGGGAGGAGAAACAGAGAGAAAGAGATGTAGAGGAGGGGGGAGGAGAAACAGAGAAAGAGATGTAGAGGAGGGGGGAGGAGAAACAGAGAGAAAGAGATGTAGAGGAGGGGGAGGAGAAACGGAGAGAAAGAGAGGTAGAAAGAGAAAAAGAGAGAGAGAGGAAGAGAGAGAGAGGGAGAGAGGAAGAGAGAGGGAGGTTAGTGCAGGAATGTGTCTCTGGTCTGTGCTCCGTGCTCCGTGTCTGACCGTGACTCCGCTGCAGCTGCAGAGCCCTCGCCACATAATCAAGCGCCACATGATTATGGAGGAATTGTGGGCGGAGGGACTATGGACACTTGGAGCCATCAACATGTCACAATGCATTAGATCAGACGCCTCAGGAGAGTAAAGCAGGAGGGGGAGACAGACGGACATGGCACGACTGCTGGAGAGACACTACTTCCGTAGTACAGTGGATGGAGTGAAGTGGGTGTCTGTCACACGTTGCTGAGGAGCAAAAGGTTACTGGTTGCTCTGGTAATTGAAACGAGTCTATAGACATGCACTGTACTTACAAGGAATGGTAATCATTGTGTGTGTGTGTGCCTGTGCGTACCTGTGCAGCGGAACTTATTGCCCTTGACCTGGCTGATGCGTTTGTTGGCCAGGCGGCGGGGGTGGCTACAGCGGGCTCCACTGGTCTCAATGGGGTTGTCAAACAGATAGTCAGCCAGCCACTTCAGATGGCAGTCACACATGAAGGGGTTCTGAGCCAGGTGGCTGGAGGAGAGATGATCAGAGAGAGAGAGATGGAGGGAGCGAGAGATGGAGGGATAGCATGAGAGAGGGAGAGATGGAGAGAAAGCAAGAGAGAGATGGAGAGAGATATGCAGAGCGAAAGAGTGAGAGAGAGATGGAGGGAGGGAGATATGCAGAGAGAGAAAAAGAAACGAATAGAAAGAGAGACTTTTTGACTTTCTTTAATGATACATACTAATTTCATTCAAACCATACTCACCTTGCCCTCTACCCCACGATACAAAACACCACATCACAATAACCAAAACCTCACCACCTCTACAATCGTATATCCAACCCATCTTCCCCAGCTTTACAGACAGCCCCCCGACACACCATATCTCCTGAAACATCTCCACACTTTTTATCATTTTATAGAACTCAAATTCCACCCTAAGGTGTGCAGAGACCATCCCATTAAATAATAGTAAAGGGTCTGTTATCCCCCCACCTTTGACCCTGTTCCTCCTTGTTAGCCAAATAGCCAACTTTGCCTGAGCAAACAGAAAATTCAACAACACACATTTGGCCTTTTCCTTATTTGAATACCTGTACCCCATTATAAACATCCCAACAGTAAACTCCGCCCCCAACCTCTCACACAGACATTAATGGCATTAACCTGGCGCACACAGAAAACACATGAATCACAGTTTCACTCATGACACAGAAAGGACACATTTACATTTAAGTAGACGCTCTTATCCAGAGCGACTTACAGTTAGTGAGTGCATACATTTTCCATACTGGCCCCCCGTGGGAATCGAACCCACAACCCTGGCATTGCAAGCGTCATGCTCTACCAACTGAGCTACAGGAGGCCCTGTCCGACTCCCGGGTCAACCCGTGCCAACCAGCTGTTTGTGGCCAGGGCTCCATGTAGAACCCTCCACTGGAGGTCCTCTGACCTCTTTGGTACTGGGTGTTTGTAGACCCCCTCCATCTAAAACCCCCCATACTCTCTACCCCACTTACCCCCTGCCACTGATGTGCCTTCACTCCTGTTAGGCTCCTATTGTTCCTTACCTTAATGCAGAGGTTGGAGAGGGCTTTACCTCCCACCCCTTCAAACTCCCCCAGGCTCGGAGTGTTAAAATCTAACAAGTCCTCCAGACCCCCTTGCCAGTCCCCAGTCTGTGCCGTCACCTGCAGTGGCAGAAACATTGGTGGCCCATTCCCCTTTGGCCGCTCAAACACCCCACTTACCGGCTCAGACAGTGCCTCCTGGACTTCCCCCAGGAATCTCTCCAGCAGCCTAAGAGATGTTAGTCCTGTTTGTTGTGCCAGGACTTCCGGGGTTTTCCACCCCTCCTCTCCCAGCAGTCGCTGGTCACCCAGCCTTAGTAAACCCGCTGCCATCAGTCGCCTCTGCAGGCTGGCCGACTGAACTGATCTCAAAAGGATGGCTGGGTTGTGGAAGATAGTCTCCTCCCACACCCACAGCCCAGGCTCCACACCCGCTTCTCGTGTGGGCCTTAGCAGCTGCCAGGCCCTCAGCACCGCAGAGTAAAAACCAGAGAGACCTGCTGTACTCAGCCTCTCCAGCCTCACGAGGAATAGCTGCCGGTCAAACCCTAATCCGCCAGCTCTCCTCAGCAGCGCGCATGCTGGTTCCCTCCAGCCGACATCAGTTTGGTACAGCAGTCTCTGCGCCGCCTTTAGTCAGAATGCAGCCACCCTGCTCTCCAGTTCCACCAGGCCCTGTCCTCCTTCATGTAAGGACATATTCAACACTGCCGCCCTCAGCCAGTGATGGCCCGACCAGGAAAAATCCACCACCTTGCGCTGCAGATCTGCGAGCAGACCAGCGGGGTGGTTGAGAACGGCCAGTTTATGCCACAGGGAAGATGCCACCAGGTTGTTGATTATCAGCACCCTCCCTCTATATGACACTTGGGACAGAAGCCACCTCCACCTGGCCCGTCTTGACACCACTGCCTGTGACAGCCCCTCCCAGTTCTTCCTGACGCACCTCTTTGAGCCCAGGTACACCCCCAAAATGTTAAGCCCTTCACAACCCCACTGCAAACTCCCTGGAAGCAGAGGGGAGGGCCCTATCCCTCCATGCCCCACATAACAGAGCTTTGCTCTTGCCCCAGCTCACCTTAGCTGATGAAGCTCCCTCGTACACCTTCAGACTAGTCTCCAGTGCCTGCATATCCTGCCCATCCCTGACCATCACAGAAAAGTCATCTGCATACGCTGACACTGCTATGCCTGGCAACACACCCATGCCTGTCCAGCAGACTCCCTGCAGTCTCCTGCGTAGCAGGCCCAAAAAAGGCTCAATGGCTAGTGTATATAACTGCCCCGATAGGGGGCATCCTTGTCTAATGACCCGCCTCCCTCAGACTGGCCTACTGAGCCCCCCTCCCACCTTGACCATACATGACGCCCCAGCATACAACATCTTCACACATGCCAAAAACCTTTCCCCAAACCCAAACATCACATTAAACAGATACTCATGGTCCACTCTATCAAAAGCTTTCTCTTGATCTAAAGAGACCAGTCCAAAGTTCACATTAGAACCTCTCGACAAGTCCAACATGTCCCTGATTAAGAACAAGTTGTCCGTGATTGAGCGTCCCGGTACACAATATGTCTGGTCCTTGTATACTATAGAGTCCAGATGGGACTTCAGT